GTGTAGATGTTAAGGGAACTCACCACAAGCTGCAGTTTGCGTGTTGGATACGTATCCTGTTACAGTGTCATGTCTTGTCTGTGTTGTCAAGGGCGTTATGTTCCTCTTCTTACTCTCGCGTTATGATAAAGGGAACCACAAAGTCACTTTAAATCGCGTAAAATAGTTCTATACAGTTGTTGCTTTTAAAAATGGAGGATAAGGCAACCAAAAATCGTCTTCTTGTTTAGAGTGGCTCCCCCTGACACGTTTTGTATATTATAGAGTTCCTGTATTTTATCATTTGTTAAGTGTAGGATGTGTAACGTAAAGGCTCCGAGTTCGACCCCTCCTGTGCTATTTTTGTATTCTTAATTTCTAACTTCGCACGTTCAAATTCCGAATAACCACAATTCTGTCACATGTATGGCAGCATGTGATTTGTATGAAATAATTCTTTTGAAAAGGTCTAAAGCTAATATTTCATAATAGTGACAGTGGAAATAATATGGTTTCACGTGTTTGTACGTTCGATCCCCGAAGTCGACGTACGCATTTATATTCAGAGAAAGCGTTTTTCTCTTGGCCACACAACTCCAACAACCCAGGTGGAGTATCAATTGGTCTGGGGTGGATGTTGCGGTATCCGTGATGTAGCATTCAAGTGAGGTGGCACTATAGAAGATGCCGTTGGAAGCACAGTCCCACTACAAACAGAACACATTACATATCCAGCACACACGCAGGCATACACACATAGGGATATATTAGCCAGGTGGCATAGTACTCGTAGTTAGCGCCTGTTAAGGCAGCTCCTGCGAATTCCTCAAAATTGTATTAAAAATGTATATGCTATTTTATTTATTCAAAGTGACACGTAACAGTACACATATAGTATTTAACATGTAGCCAGCACATTTCGCTGCGATAGATTTTGCCGATTTTGACTGAAGGATACCTGCCCCACTGTACTTGATTTTCCTATTTGAAGTCACATCCCCTTTACTTCCGTTTAGATAAAACTGTATAACAGTTGAGTCAAGGACACTTTCGTCGAGCAGGTAGCTCATTCAATTGGAGCAATAGATAGGCAGTCTAAAGTTCAGGTTTTGAATCAAGGTCTAGCACTGCAGTGTTTTTTACACTCAAAGAGAGTTAATTCGATTTTATTGCAGCAAATGATAGTGATATGTGTTATGTAAGCTCTTGTTTAATTACAGTTATTATAATCAAACTATCCAAGCTCTGATATTCTAGGATCGTATTAGATTCATACCGCTTAAATTACCGCGATTTTGAACGAATTTAGAAAATGAAATGAACGTCACGGATTTTAATCTCGCGATCTACACGTTTGAAGGAACTACATTTTCGCCGTGTGTAGCACAAAGGCAGAACATTCGGCAGATACAGTGTTAAATCGTCGAATGAATACGCATTTATGCAACAAAACCAGTTTAGTGTATTTTGTTAAATAAATCATCAACGAAACTTTTACATGCATGATATAATATATAGATATATTCTAAAAAATCTTATTCTTTGGGTTAATGAATCGTCACATCGTCACACTCCCATATTCGCTATTTCATAACAACGTTACAGGTCCCAAGTTTATTTTCATGCTTGTGATATTGTTTTGAAGAAAACATTTTTCGTGATTGCGTTATTGACCCGCGAAATCGCAAAAATAACCTACTACACTTATATGTGCTTAGTAATGACAATACAATTGTTAAGCTCGTTAGTTTTTGCGATCATGTTATAACTCGCGAAAAATAGTTCCCGTCAAAATAGCCGGCTTTACAGAAGGTAGTAGTGTAGGATTGTTAAAACGTCTGTGTTATAACTTATTGCAAGACTGCATTGACCTTCAGCATGACAATGTTTTATCAATAAAACAAATCTCAAATCTCTCTTCCAAACGGTGAATATCACAGCAAATATAACTTACCAAACATCCCGGACACCCAGGTGAAAGGCACCACCCGACCACCAAGCGGACATTTGTCTTTTATCTGTTGGTGTGGTTGATATCTTTTCCTTTTACGTGTCTTATCTACCTTTTATTGGCCCTAAATACCTCTTCTGTTTTGATAGGCCGTTAAGAAATCAATAGCTGACCGATGTCATATTTTGTACAGTGTATGTAGTTATTTTTAAATGCGGTGATAAGGCACATGACATAAGATCCACCAATACTTGATCTATGTCTTGACGAGGTCCGTCGTTAAACATGGTCTTCATGTCTTATTTCTGCAGTTTAAGTAGTCAAAAGAATTATTCTGAAATAATAATCCTTAAAATGAATTTATCTACAGTTCAATACTTTGTGTAGCACTGTTCGTTTCGTGCCAAATACAATCAAGTGCTAAAATTAACGATTGTACGTAAATGGTTGAGTAGCATTGAATTGTAGGACATCTTTAACATGTATTTTTAAACAGAAATGTCATTTTTATTTCACCACTTCTCCGCATTTACGGGATAAATAAGTGAAGTAGAGAAGTAACTGTTTTTTATTGTACGTTTATGGTGTCCTTTTATAGTGGCTTATGGCTGACAAAGACACATCGGGCAGCCATTGGGTGCAAGCACTATGCCTTTAGCACATGGGGATGTGCATCTCAATGGTGCGCATGTACCGGAAGCGGAAGTTGTCTTTTGATGTGGGACTGAACTTGTGGTTGACGGTGTTGTAGTCAAGGTGGGTGTCGTAGTAACCGGCGCTGTGGCTACAATATATGTTTTACAGGGTTCTAAAGTACAGTGGAATAATTTTTCATTAGTACATAGTGAATTAAATCTACAATAAATGAAGTATTTTTCAATGAAATATCCTTTATCACGAACGTATTTGATTCGATTGAATCATTCAACTGAACCAGAATTTGTTTTTTACCAGTATGAAAGGCGTAAATATATTATACCAAGAACCATCGTTTCGATAACTCGCCGATAAAGATCATGATTGACGTCGCACTTCCATATAAGAAACTTACATTGTTTTACAGTCGGGCTCTTATGTGTTGTAACTGCACTTTGAATGTGTTGAACACTTGGTACTCCACTTCCGGTATTACTTCCGATATTACTTCCGGACCCGCTTTGGCCGGTCTGTTGAAGTGCACCTTACAAATATAGAGCAAATACTACTCATACAAACTTGAAATCATCTTTCTGAGGAATCATGAATTTAACATATTTAAATTATTTCTAGAAAAAGTCTTGTCTTACATTCAAAACAAAGGTTTAGTTGCAATATTCTTCTTCTATTACCTGCAGAACTTCCTGCCAAATTGCCCGGGTTACCAGCCGTCAACACAGGATTTCCCGCTATTGAAGTGCTTCCACCTGGATTGGACGGTTTTCCTGCCCCCGCTGCCATTCCGAGATTTGCGGGATTGCCGAAGCCGTACGGATTACTAGGATCTGAGCCTCCGCTTACGGTCAAAAACGGATTAGACGGTCCCATATTCGCAGGGCTGAACCCACCCGGGAGATTCGAATCAAATCTTCCTATAACCGGAGACGGTTGAGAGTTTCCGGAATTATATCCAGTTCCAAATCCTATCATTCCGCCCGGATTAATCATTGATATCCCTGATCCGCCACTCACCGCGCCCAGTCCAGATATTACATTCGCACTTCCGATCGCTCCATGTTTTGCACAGTCACAAACTGTACATCCGCTACTAGTACCTATACACCATTGTGGACAGAGGTTAGGTAGGGAGTTACACCGACTCCTTTGTATAACTCCTCCTGAATGGAAACGGAATTGTACGATCAATTGAATATTAAACATTTTACATCTTTTTAAAGCTGAGTGGGGAGAAAATATAGCCAGCTTAGACTTCCGACATTAGACACGACATTTATCATCAATTTGTATAATCAATAACCGTTCTTCAGATTTTGTTGGTTTTCAACGTTGCCTTTGAATTCAGAAAGAAGATAGGTAATATAAGAAAATCTGTTCAAGGAAAGACAACTCCAATTGCATATACGAAGTCCAAAATTGTAGGATAAATTGGTAATTTTGAAATACCATTTTACTAGAGTTCCTGTATAAGAGATATTTTTTTTAAAGTTATCAACGTATTGCGGTTTTTATTGTGATAAAGTAGCAAACAAAGCGTAGATCTCATAGCCTATTGTACTACATGTCTGTTTGTCTGGGGTCCTGTTTGCTGTAAACAAAAAGAATTATACACGAAGAACTTTCCGTGTCGCGTAAATACAAATATCAATCAAGCTATCTTCAGTCACGATATAGATATGATATTACTTTTCAGTATATCAGCTTGAGTCAAAAACTCGACCTATCATGGATATTAAAATTATACATGTGAAACAATAAACATTCCTGATACAAAGAATATTATAAATGGCCAAATTATCGGTGAATATCGTATATAACATTACCTGATGCAAAAACTTTGCTTAGTAACTTAAGTGACAAATTGAATATAGATATAACATAGAAATATGTCTAACATCTTGAACACGATTTAAGTCAATTAGTTTATTTAACTGCTGCTTCAATCTCACGATACTGCTACGTGTAGTTTCGTAAGAGTTGTCTCGCCTGATATGACTACTACTCTTTTCTTGTCCATTTAAGGACCACACGCCGCTGTCAGAAACTATAACTATGTATTGTGAACTGTTTTTCCGGCATGACTATAGCTTCGGTAAATATTTTTTGTAAAAAAACAACCTTACCGGTTCTTTGGATAATAACTAGGATTTTATTTTATATATAAGATTTGTCAGATTGGTAAGTTAGAAACTCAACAAACACATTGTTTGTGATATTTGACATTAAAGAAATAGTCCACATTTCGAGAAAACCTGGTAACAGACAAGTGCAGAAATGGCTGATGGCTAAATGTATCGATACATAGATATAAAGAGTGTATTCTGTCAAAATAGGGATTTTACAATCCTTTGACAGTCAGCTCTAGATCTGAACTATAGAAAAATACAATAAAAAAACTGAGACCTTAGATTGAAATTTCTTCTTTTAAACAGTATGTTTGCGATAATTTTTCCAGAGTTCATCTAATTCATATTCAAATTGTTTTAACTGTGTTTGATTTTACAACATAAGACGGAATATTGTTCCATACATCAACAGTTCTCTGTGTAAACGAACATTTTCTAATATTCAATCTTGAATGCGATTTGTATCTTTTAAAATTGTGTACACATGAACATGATATTTCCCTGATTTTAAATATTTCGGATACTTCATGGCCATATTTCTCGGACATTATTTGGTAGACCTCTATCATGTCGCCACGGAATCCTCTATATGCTAGTGTTGATATTTATGCGCGTACAATTGTTAATGTAAATATGAAAATGAAAGCGACCCTATCAATGAATACTACATTTGTATCACAAAAACAATGCAAAGTTAGTACTTAGTTAACGTAACGCAATATTTAATGTATGTGGGTGTCAATGGGACCATTCAGTTCTTGTAATTCAGATCTTATTTGTTGAACATTTATACTATTTTTTCTAAAACATTTTTTTGATAAGTGGTGAAGAAATGCACATGCGCAACTGGAAACGCGATAATAGCACGAGGTCTCACTAAAGGGAGACAAGGACGAAAAAGAGGGAGAAGAACATTAGGGATATGGCAGCAAAAGTCATCAAAGTCAAATCACAGAAATCAAAGGGAACAAACCAGAATTAATGTCTGACTTACCGTTACACACTGTAACGAGTAGCAGTATCACCGATAGCATCGCCATCATAACATACGTCTCTGTTGTTAATAAGGCAGCAGACGGAAGACGGAGTCGAGAAATGCTCCCGTCCTATCAGTAAACAATCGAATTGGTCAAACATGGTATCGGAATAGGCAGTGTCAGGTACACGTACAGGTAAGTATCTCACCTGTACAGGTGATAAAATGACCATCACGGACACCTGATAATGTATGTTACGTGATAAGCGAGGCAGGTGGTCACTTAGTGACCGTATGATTGACCATTGAATTATTTTAAACTATAATCACAATTATAGAAATGACAGGAATAAATAATATCGAATTCTGACACGGGTTGAGTACTGTAATAAACACCAGCTTAATTGAAAGTCAATAAGTGCGAAATAATTATAAATAAAACCTATTAATACTAAGGTACTCAAAAACATTCCACAACAGAAAACTACAACACATAGCAACATACCTGTATTTTATATTGTTTTATGTTTCAATGTAGCAGTGGGGCTCTTTTATGAATCGAAAAATAATGATGATTTCGTTTTGTATCTGGGTGTTACATTATCTAACCAGCAAGTCATAGAAAACGGGGAAAACACCCCAAAGCGGAAACGGAATAGAAAAGAGATAGAGGAACTTATACAGCACCAATTATTTGGACTGTAGGCAGCAAATCAATGTTAAACGAGTGTTTGCAAGTTTAAATGTCGGCATATAACGTTAGATACATACTCACGCTCAAAGAAAACTTGTGTTTTCCTTATCGAAAACCTTTTATATTCTTTATTTAAGCATTGAACTGTTTTTGTATGGTATTTATGATCTATTTGAATGACACAGCTTTGCAAGCAAACAACATAATGCGCGCTAGCTGTGTCATTCAAATAGATCATAAATATCATACAAAAACAGTTCAGTACTTATATTTACGTTTTCTCTGCCTCTTATGTTCTTTTTTAACTTATAATTTATAATTGAAATTAAAAATGCCCGCCTTATCGACAGTCCACACAATTTCGTTCAATAGTTTGAACAGCGTATACGTATTGTCGCGTGCTGATTGGCAAACAAAGTAGTACTTTGACATTTTAACAAACACTTCAAATTTATTCCACAATTTAGTATCAATACAATTGCGTATGATATGTCTATAGGGTGATTCCAGTTATTCAATAGAAATCTGAGCTGAAAGTTAGATTTGAAATTGTTTCGATTTTCCCCCGGAACAAATTTCGCGCATTATTATTATTATTATTTCCTTTATTTCCTCCAGAAATGAAGAGTTACAGAAATAACGGACAATACACGTACAATTCAACTCTACTGAAAGAGAAGAAAATGCATTCACAATCATGGTCACACCCTTACATAGTGACACACACACATGCACATGGACAGACACACACATAAGAGAATAATAATAGTACACGCATCATACCATAAAGTACTATAAACACAACATAATGATATAATGGGTACAGTCATTATACGGTGATAAGTATGATGATAGACAGTATAACACTAATCATACATTACATCACACATTGATGTAATAGACATATTTACACTCCTCAAACTACATTATCATATAATAGTATAGACAGTAATCCACTTCTCGTACTAAGCAATCATACAACATTGTAATAAACAGTATTACAAGCATCACACTATAAATTATACAGCATTATTATAGACAGTATTACTGTTACATAAGTCTTACAATACAATCATACATTGAGTAGAACCCGTTGCACGAAGTCATACAATATAGTCATACAGTGGTGTGAAATACACAACATACAATATAATAATTAACTTGAAGAAACAGCGCAACCAT